TGTTATGGCACATCACTACTGCGAAGCCTAATATCTCTTTTAAAACAACACTATTAACTACGCAAGAATTTAAGTATTGAGCAAGATTAGACTCTGTAGTTTTGATTCGGTTAAGCCATGTCATAGATTGCATATTCTCTTAACATAATAACAGTTATTTTTTTAATTATTAATTTATAATAACGACTACATACAATCGTTTATGCCAAGTTGTAGCAACACTATGACGCGTCAATGACTTAACGGTAATGGCTTGACGAATAAACTAAAAATGACTAGAGAGGAATGTTATGGCATCAAAATCATCGATAAAAGTTTAGCATCTCTGTTGGCAACGTCCCATCAGATTATTGTCACATTCTTAAGCTAATTGGCTGGGATAGGCAAGATTCTGGCGAAGGTGTTGAGTTCTCAATGTTTCGTATGTCGCAGCCAATTTTGCCGCCTTTAATCCACAATAGCGCCAAACTCCGCCATCTTGTCATGTTGTAATTTACAACGGGATGAACTAAAATTATTTCAGAACAAAAGAGCAGTAACAATAGCATCGATTTTATTTAGGCCGCCATGGAAATTACGTTTCAGGGTCTCGTAATAGATCGTGTAGCTAGGCGAACCAAAAGCAAGTCAACCGGTTATTAAGAATAAGCGGTGGATACTATCTTTGTTTCTACCGATTGGCTTGGCTTTCGAATCGCCATTACACAAATAAAACCCCTACAACGTCATGTAAAAAGATAATTTTAATCCATCTCCGTGTTAGTTTGCAATCTAAAAACGGCTGCGACCATTGTAAATCTGGAAGTATTGAGCAAACAATCGCGAATAATTTTGGCTAAACTTTGGCCTGAATTTGGCAAATAAAGTTACCACTTCGTTCCAGGAAGACGGTAGGCCTCAAGCGAAGCGTACTAAAGGTCTACACTACGTGACTACGTCATCGGCGCTCCTCCCGACGGGAGATGTCCACGGGAGAAGTCGCAGTATGTTATTCCTATAAAGAAATCAACACAAAGATTTGAAGAAACTTAAAATAGGCTTGCGTGTTCCTCGAGCCGGTCTTGACGTCGGGAGGAGAACCATTTTAATAGCACGTTTCACAACCAACGTGTGGCTAACGCCCTTTGAAAAATTGACAGTGGAATATCTTCTTTTCTATAATGGAAGAATCTTTTTTTATTACGTATAAGTCCATGCCAACCATGCCGAGACTGAAGTACAAGGTTAGTTACAAGACGCGAGTCTACGCTATGATACATGCCTGTCAGCTGCGCCGACTCAACGATCGAGCGATCGTACCCCCTCCCCGATGTTAAGGTGTTCCCGTGGGGCAAATGTTTTCGCACTCTCTCTATCACACTCAAAATCTACTGTTCACAAATAATTAAAATACTAAACTAAGATCAAAAACGTGCAGCGAACAGGTGAAATAAAAAACCATAGCCCAGCACAAAAGTATCCACCCCACGCTTCATGAGCTACGAAATAAAACACACATTTATTTTCTAATTATAATTTTGTAATGACACAAAAGGGTATTTCTAGGTGCTCAATTACATTACGGGCAAACTAATTCTGCTACATAACTACTTCTAGCCTACTGACCGAGGAGCCAGCCGGTGTAATACACGTGTTTAGGAAAACAAAATAAAAAATATACTTTGTTAATGTACCCGACGTTTCACCGATATATAAATAATGTAATTCGCCAGCGAAACGTCGGGTGTCAATATATATATGTATAAATTATCGAAGAAAAATTAAGTACATAACTAGAAGGCGCCGCTCTATCTAAATATTTGGCAAGACACCAAGCGGCCGCCAGCGGAGGGTTACTATGAGACATCACAATAATATTATCAACCATCTAATACTGAGAATTTCAGAGGAAAATGCTAATATACAAAAGGTGTTGTCATTGTACGAGCCGGCGTACGGCGCGATTCCATGACACATAATAAATAAAATAACTATTAAAAAAAAACTTGTTATTCGTCAAAATAATTGGAGGGGAAAAAAATAAAGAACTTCTTTTTTGCATGTGTAACGGAACGCGCGCCGTACGCGAAATAATCTCAAGAGGTTCTAGCCTACTTAATCTAACAATACTGCTATAATAAAAGGACAGGTATGTGTATAATGTGATAAATAGCATTCGGTAGCCTTGGTGGGTGAAAAAAAATATAGTCAACATACCTAATATAAAGAAAAATATGTATTGCAATATGAGTAACTCAAGTGTCTGTGTAATATTAAAGTGTGTATGTAGTGCGACAAAAATAAGTTAAAACCAAATACCTATTAGTTAGGCATTTTCTTAAAAGGCGCGAATATATTTTAGCAAGGACACTGCGTTTGCGCAGGTGCTTTCCGTAGCGCCTAATGGCGCCATAATTGGCGAGCGCCATTTTTATTTCGAATGAGAAAACACGTGTTAGTGTGCATTATTTATACTTTTCCATTAAACATGGTAATAACTGAAAAACATTCGTAAACATCAAATCAGATCCAAAGACAGCGCTGAAAAAGAACGCAAACTTATTCTTGTGGCACTACCTGTGTTTCTGACACGTGTCACGTGAAACCATAAACTAGTTTCCACACACCAAGGTCCCATGGTGAGTCGGCTGGGAGGGAATTGCCGACCAAGCTACCGCATGCACTCGGCTCTACTTTCACCACTTGGCTTTGCCTGGGCGCCCACAGATTATAAATACCGACCACAGATAAAAGACTTAAAGAGTTTTGACACTTGAAACATCTTGAGCGTAATCATTTCGGCAAAAACATTGCTTTATGTAATAATATTATATTATTTTCTAGAAGAGCGAGCTAATTATAATAATATCCGTTTAGGAAATGATTTTTTCACTAAAATATTCACCATTTAAGTACTCGAATCACTTTAGTTTATAATAATACTTGACAGGACCACGTCCCGAAATTTACACTTATAACCTACGAATTGCACGAACACAACCTTATCATTGTCTTTTTTTAATAATACTCTCTAATCACAGGGATGTAAGTTGTATTGCTTTTGTTTTTAAACTACAAATTAAGTACTACAATGGAAAGTGGACATCTAAATACTATTAAGATTAAGTAGAAACCGTGGCAAGTTGCGAAGAGCCCAGTAATTATCTACAAGGCCATTGCGAAGGGCAAAGGTCAAAAGGAATGAAACACCATCACCATTTAGGCAATTCAGGATCAGACAATGACGTAATACCGGCGTCACGAGTAGCGTATCACACAAACTATTGCTTAACATTACTGCATATTTGTTGTGGCGATACAAACGCAATAGTTGGTGTAACGAAAGTATTAAATTACTTCAAAATATGACCGTAAATTCTTACCGATTCGGGTATTATGGCACTATACCATACCCATTTGGAGTGCTTCATTTGAAATCGCCGTTCGCTACATTAAATATAAATAAACACGTTTGCTACAATCATTATAATTTGCTAGCGAGATCTAATGGTGGTTAGAAGATGGGATAAATTGTTATTTTAATAGTATTTTTTACAAAAATCACATGCTGTTATCTGTTCCAATTTATAAAAACCATGCCAGCAACAACTTTTATTTACACCATGGTAAAATTTTGTCTTGCATGCTAGCTTAATCAATGTCTATATGGGATTAGGGGTTTTTATATATTTTTATAATTAAGGATGTCTAGTTATTATTTAGGTATAAATATATATGCTACAAATAAAATCACCTCCACAACCACCATTCTATTTGTAATTTCACTTGGATATCTATTTGGCGCCCAACATGTAATTTTGGCGCCCAACGCGTTATATTGTCTCAAACGTGTAATAGATCGTCCCAGGCAAAGACAAGCGGTATCTACAGCTTACATTTAGCTTATTGTCACTTGACACTCGAAGGTGTTAGTTGCATTCCCTGCTATCAACTAAACTATAATTAATACGTACTAAAAGTAGCCTAGTGCGTTGTTGCAGTGTGCTTTTGAATTTAAAATGTTTTGGCTTTACTATTTCTCTGAAAAAATCTTAGCATCGAAAAAAATACTATTGAGTATTGAAGATTTTTGTCATAATTCTTGCAAGTAAAATCCCTTTGTCAGTTGTCAAAATATAAAACAAACAAAATTTTAATATTCAAAAGCCACTGCAGAGCTACGCTGGCTAAACTATATATAATATCTACGTAAATATGTAATACATAAGTGTACGTTAATGAGATTGCTTACTCAGTTAGATATGTATGAGAGAGTATCATGAGCTTGTGAGAGGCGAGCGAAATGTATTGTGACGTGAGTCGATTAAATGTCACGAGAACAGTCACTTACGCGTGTATTTTAATCATCCAAATAATAGTTAACTGAACGCATTTGCTAGAATCCAGACGGGGTACCGTTAAACTATGTCATTTCACAAAATAAACTATCCGTCACAGCTAAACATTTCTTTTAATAAGACTGTTTAGAGAGCCTCATTACAATTCGCTTCTACCGCTATCGAAAGATTCTACAAAAATGACAATTTGGCACAGGTAATGGTAGGAAATTTCAATGTAAACTTTGAGCAAACCGTCCGTAGGATCAAAACTCCGCCCCGAATGAAACCGCAAACGCGTACGTTTCCGACGCGCGACTTTCGCGTCTCACGTCACGCAACATCCACCCGCGGCCGCCACAGACGGCCCCGCCAATTTTAACCAATAAAAAAATACAGAGCTGCGATGAGAATCAAACTTCGGACACACGCCCGCGCGATACAAACTAATATTCGAGTACGTCGCCAACTCACGTGCACTAACTACAACTAGGACGAAACGCGAGGGGGACACGGTTCCAGATCCGAAACCGCACTACCTGAGATCACCTCGAATCCACAAAAACATAAAATTACAATACAAATGCTTCGGGCGTTCAGCCGCGATAAGGGTAAAGGAGAGGGGGTTCGGGCCGCGACCCTAAAAGAAAAATAGGAACTGTCGAGAAATCAAATCCGCCGCGATTAGATGTACATCGGCAGGCCGTACATGGCACTCCAGTCGACGCCCTGGAAGGAGGACATGTCGACGCCTGCTAGGGAGTAGGCCGCACCGAACTGCGGCAACTGCGGCGCCGGCTGCGGAGCGGGAGGAACTAAAGGTGCGGCCGCGGCGGCGGGCAGCGCGTAAGGCGCGTATCTGTACGCACTCACTCCGCCCACTCCCCCCACCCCTCCAACGCCCCCCACTCCTCCGTAAACTAGGCCTCGAGCCGGTCGCAAAACGAGCCTTTTCCCTAAAGCCAGAGGCGCCGCTGCGACCGCTTCTTTAGGCTGAGCACGCTTGCATTCCACCTTCTTATTCTTGATCGTGTGAAAGTGTATATCGCACACGCGCTCGACGGCTTCCTCCGAATGGAAAGTCACGAATCCGAAACCGCGATGGCGTTTCGTTTGCTGATCCATCAGCATGACAGCGTCCTCCACGAGTCCGAATTGGGAAAAGTAGGCGCGGACCTCGTCGGCCGAAGTGTCCTGTCCGACGCCGCCGACGAATATCTTCTTAGTTTTGGCGGGACGAGGGGCGGACTTTGGCGTTGCGTGCTTTGGATCGATGCGTTTACCGTCCAGGGTGTGTACCGGGACCGCGAGTACTTTGTCGACCGCCGACGCCTCCTGGAAAGTGATGAAGCCGAAGCCGCGCGAACGCTGCGCGCGGCCTTAGCTCAGTACCGCGTTTGACGGAAGCGAAACGAAGAGTAGACTGAGAAATTGGCGGGAAACTACCAACCTTACAACCTTGGGAGAACGCGACCACTTCCTTTCGGGATATAGATAAAAGTTAAACCGTGTTCCTGAGGATGTATATAAACTTTGAATAATACTTCTATAGCTCTTGTTGAACATATCGTACAAAGAAAGTTGTGGTTTAAATAGCATAGTTTTTAAGTTATTGGTAATTTAAGTTTAACCAACTCAATTGTGTTGTTCAGTGAGAATGAGTCTTTATCTGTGAGATGTTGCCACTTTGTGCAACCAAAAATATCAAACTATCAACTCTTTGTCAATGGTCATTAAGTCATAGTTTCAAAAGTCAAAATTTTAAAAAGCATTGTTGACGTCAAGAAAAGTTCCAAAAAGTTTATGTGGACATGTGAACCAAGGTTTCAAATGCGACGTTGCCAGCTCAGGTACAGAGTAATTCATATTAGATAAATTACATCTAAGCATTTAGTTTGTATGAAAATAAAAAATGATAAAAAAATTTGAATTCATAAAAGTGTCCATAGTAAAAAATGATCAATTTAACAGTCTGAATAACATGCCAAAGTTAGTGTATAACCTCAGGAACACGGTGTATAGAGAAACGGAAAAACTTACCAATTTCGTGACCTGTGGATACGCAGTTTAAATCCCAAATCAATAATACGTACACACAAAAGATTCGAGTTTAACTAAAGTGATTAAAGATAATATGTTAAACTACTCATGATGGTACCCTCAAGGAAGCTGTCGTGTCCTCGCACAGCCTTTTCGTTTTAGAAACCAATTTGTAAGTCCACTCTTCATAGTATAAGAATCGCCATCTTGACCGGTCTATGTATGACTAGGGCGCAACCAATACTCAATACATACGTGTCAATCAAATCAATCCTACGAGGATACTACTGCCACAGAAGAGCGTCACACAGCGGAATCTTTAAATGTTTAATAAAAAAAATCTAAATAAAATTTGTTTTTAAACTGATCATTGATAACTTTATAAAGGTTTCCACTTTTGCTAATCGAATCTTAACTTTGACCGTCCAAACAATCTATTTTTTCTATAATTATCAATGTTGTGCATTCTTAAATTATAATTAAAAACGAAAAGTAACTAATCTACTTTTATATTACTTCAAAAGTTTTTATTCATTTTAATGATCATGTTCGTATTTAAGTTTCAGAATGAAAATCCAGTGTTAAGATTAAAATCAATTTTATTTAACACGTAATATGAATTAAAGAAATATATATTATCTAATCCAGCTATACAATTTGGGTTGCCAGATGGCCGGGATTTCCGGAATAGGGTATTTGACAATCTCACGTTATTGACTAATGTTTATGGAGTCCGTAAAAAGTATATATTCATCATTCTGTTGTGTATTTCAGTAAAAAATACCAAATCAAAAACTCCATTTTTAAGTTGCCGCGAAAACGTTTCTCTGGACAATATGACGTCTTACTAGTGTGTGACGTCACACGACTGTTATTAAAACGTCAAATGATACAGTGTAATGTCACTTAAACCGGAAGTTTACTTGCGTGTGACGTCATTTTAGGCTCCGCCAATCCCTAGCGTTTTGGCTCACGTGACAATAGAAAAGAAAACTATTATCTTTTTCGTGGGGTTTTAGTAAAATTATGAATATTTTTTTTTTGTAAAAATAGTAAAAACCCCTGCCAATATTCATTCTAAACACAGATGCTAACAATTGGCACTTTATTTTTAATACTGTCAAATACCCTATTGTCCCGGAATTGTGCGTGTTGTCCCGTGTCCAGTAGACATTATTACCCCGGATTCCGATAATGTGCTAGTTTCATAACAAAATAAACTAATAACGAATGACACCTGCTTGATGTTTTAATTCTGGCGGGTGAGGGGGGGTTTGATGTTATGGTTTACTTTTCCAGGAGGGGGAGGGTGCAAAAGTCCCGGAATTGATAAGCGAGCATCTGGCAACCCGTATATACAATAAAGACATAATTTAGGTAACGCTCACAAATGTTTATAGATAAATCAAAAAAACAATTTCCGCGTCATGAACGTGGTTCCACTGTGGCACTACAGCGACTAGACTTGGGTCTGAAGTTAGCACTGAATGCAGGCATTCGTGATCGTCTATAACTAGAGTACCTAGCTACGAGTCAAGATGGCGGTCCGGGTGTTAATAAAATGCAATATCTGCGAAGCAAGTTCAACGTGACTCAAAAATTAAAATTGCTATTCAAAATCCCAACTGTAAACTACAATGTCGTCGAGAAAAATCATTACTGTCAAGCGTCAAACTTGCTCGCATACATTGCCGACATACAGGTATATCAAAGAGGTTAGAATAACTCTATAATAACGATAACTCTATGTGTTTCTGTTATCAATTTGTTTACTTCTCAGAACGAAAGGTAATCTATCATGCTAACGGTATGTTCTAGAACCCAGTACTTGGTAGTTTCTTGTGTTGATAAGGCTTGCAACATTGACGTATCTACCAAATGGTAGTTTTGGAAACTATTCTAAATCAAAGGACATGGTAAAGTTTTGTATGAGCGACTGCCCTGGCAATGTATAAATACTGTACTTAGTAATATTTAATGGTAAATGGCTGAATATTTATAATTTCTATGAAAAAAAAGGCTCAGGAGCTTTTGATAAAGTCACAATCTTGAAAATTATGAAAACTCCTACTATGTCATTACTTTACTACAGTTGATAAAAGATGTTGCCAATTATTTACAGAGTCATCAATTTCGCATTTTCCTAGAATCTTTCTTCCCATTTCTCTGTTTAACTCTTCACAAAAAGATTTTTAAAGCTAAAATAAATACAAATAATTTGTTATCGTCGGCCTGACAGGAAATCTGTGTAGTTTTATTTTATCCATTTGAAAAAATTAAAGGATAAATTATCATACAGCCTTGTCTCAAGTCTAATCAGAAAAATAAAATCTATTATTTTAATCCTTCAGTGATTTGTTATAACAAAAATTAGGGCCAAATATGTCATAGTTTGAAGGGGTTTACAAATAATATTGTTCATTTCGATATAATTACACAAATATTTTTTGTGTACATTTATTGTTCATTTATTTTGTGAAACGGAATATTTTGCTTGAAACAGACATGAAGTCAATTTTTATACTTTTAAATATTTGATTATTTCACGAGAGTTGTAACACGTAATAATTAATAAATAAATATTGTAAAGTTAAGTGCTAGTGCGAAATATTTATACACGTTAAGGGCAGTTTCTTAGCCATGTCCTTTAGAATAAGAAATCTAGATTTTTCATATTAATTTTACACTGGAAATAGACTTGAAATTGTTACGTAATAAGGTTCGATTTTGTAGTATGAGAAATGTCACTATTGATGTTCGAAAATAAGATTTGGCACGTAAAACGAAACGTTAACGTTGCAAACCTAAGCAATACGTGAAACCATCACAAGGTCTAGGTACATTTGACTATGCCGACATCTATATAAATGTAATAACCACAATATTAGCACATGTTATGGGAATATACGAGCATTTATTTACCCTCAACGAGAAAAACTACTATTTCCTTGAGCATTTCAAGTGTTGTCAGTGTAAAAAATCTAATATTACAAAAATGTCTACCAAACACAATTTTCTTTCTGTCAACTCTAACTCTGCTTAAAATCATTAAACAATTAATATTTTTATTATAAGAGGTAATAATTAGTGAAAGATACAATTATTGTTACACCATTTTGTTGAAAAATGTTATGACTTTTGGGTACTATTCTAAATCAAACTTTCTACCACTATCCCTTTGCCAACTCAATTAGTACGAAAAAATATACCAATGGTCTAAAAATAACGAAAATAAAAAAATACTAATTATGAAAAATATTTTAACCATAGCAACACCAAATGTTACTGAAGACGGGGTAACTACCAAGAATTTAGAATTAGAAGGAGCAAATTGTTCTCAAAAGATCATTATCTATGGCTTAACGTAGTCTATGGTGTTAGTGAAACTAGCATGCCAGTCGTTCTATCTCGTCTATGTAATGTATTAGTCTCAAATACTTCGCTCCAACCATAGCCCAACTATCTTGTTTAAAGTGAAGCCCCATAAACAACAGAGTTCTCATTGACTAATAATATAAAAACAATTTTTATTTCATCACTATGTTGTCCGTCCATCCGTCTGTCACGATCCTTTTTTTCAGGAACGCGTGGAGGAATCAAGCTATAATTTTATCAATCTTTTGAAACGAAAAAATCTAACTTTGAAATCAATGCAATCAAAAAAGATACAGCCGTTTATTGCACATTCTATGCATTAATAGACTAACAGCTGTCAAATCATATACCTACCTATATTTAAATCATTGTATGTGCTCTCGTTCATCCATGCTTGGTTAGAAAGAGAGGCATTTACTATTTATAAAGAGAAATAAAATACACTTTCCTTTTACAGATATCAATTTTTTCAATTACTCTTTCTAGAAAGTACTATTAAAAAAAAATAAAAAAAAGATAAATGATGACAAAAGAACTCTCAAGCTCTTTGTTTATGGAGCGCCATAGACAAACAATACAGATTACCTACTAACTACCTATCCTAACGACCTCGCCTCTATACACTGACCGATAAGGTTGAAATCCGCTTGACTCCTACTGCCTACAGCTGTCTTAGAAAAGGTGCATGTTTATTATTAAACTTTTAGATTCACATGTAATTTCACATATCAATTCTGTTTCATTATTATTTTTAACATTATAATAAATATCATTTCTACGTAATTTTATAATATTTTTCATGTTGCAAGTTCTAATCTTTTGCAATTAACTTTATGAATATAACTTCCTTAAAAAAGCACATTCGAAAGCTTTTATATATATATTTTTCATAGTTTTTACTTGCAATAGAAGTCATTTATTGCATTTATCTTCAAAACCCTACAGTTAACCATTTCTAACATTTCACAATTAAAATATTTTCAATAGTAATTGCTCAAAGTCAATTACAAAAGATTAGAATTTTAACAATTTTCGGTACTTTGAATTGGAACCATCACAAACTTTTTATCACATACTTTCAAAAGTTCAAAAATATAACTGTTTAATCCCCTTGTGAGTAAATGAAGAACTATTTGTTAGTTTAAAATGAAATAAACTATGCTATCTGGCACCCTGACAGGGATCAGCAAATGAAAATATGCATATTTAATCAAATTGACTGGAAAATTGCTTTCATTTGACTAGCAATTAATTCAGAATATTCTTTTAACTAATAAAAATGTGTTACTCTAATTAATAATGGAGTTACCATATCATCACCAATACATTATAATAATTTAATGAAAAGTTATTTGATTATTAGCACATACAAGTACATTAAATATTAATGTATTAATCATTGAAACAACATGAATGCAATATGTTAAAAATTATATCAAATGTAGTTCTGAAAACTGTGAATAGATGGCGCTTGCAGTTTTAAAACCCGCTATGGTTTAGTTTTCATCTAGATTTTAACTGTTTCTCAAAATGTTTAAAGTTCAGTTTACAATAAAACGAGGTGTGTGTTCAATGGAGTTTTTAATAAATTCTTTCCTTTTTATTGTTCACTATAAATGGTTTGATTTACGTCCTTGAATTTCACATCACTCAAATAACATTTTGTAATTTTTATGAACACAGAATACTGCGTTTCTTAACTAGCCTTCATTTGTTAAAAAAAGGGGTTGGTAAGCCATGATTCCAATAGTCTGTGATGAGCCAAATTCGTACCCAAAAAATCGTTCAACATTATGGGATCAGATTAGCAAATATTCCTACACTTCCGGGCGCACTATTCACTTAATACTTGCTAGTATAAAATTCTCAACAAACAAAATATGTTTGAAAGGGTTTAAGCGAGATTTTACTAAATATGTTATCTTTTTTTTAGAAAAATAAAGTCCTTACATTTATAAAAATTAATGCTTAAAATAAGAATAAAATACTTTTTTTTAATATTTCTTTACATAGCAGACCTTTAACAGTCTCTGTGGAAAATAAATTTAATAAAACCACGTTTAAAAACCTGTTCAAAAAAGTGATTTAAACCAAACATAAGAAAACAGAATCAACATCTAGAATCCCAGCATGCTCCTCACCTGTGTCACCGGATCTTTCATGATCAGTACATCGGTCACGGGGCCAAACATTGCGAAGTACTCCCTCAGCTTCTCCGAGCTGGTCTGCCAACTGAGGCCCCCCACGAACAGCTTGGAGGGCGAGGGGGATGTGGAGCCGGCGGGGGGCTGCGTGGTGACGCCCGCGGGGACCGGCGTGGAACGCCCTGACGAAGGCGACGTTTCTGGGGAGACAGTGGGCAAACCGTGAATTGAAAGCAAAGGTTTCTGACGAAACAGGTTATTGTGACTTGAAAAGAGACAAACAAAGTTTATTACGATACCACATTTATGTACACCAAACCAGGGGGCCAATCGCCTAACTGGATTGCTTTGGAAAACGCTATCGCTTACGATTTCATTTTGTTATTTCTAGCCCCCTGAGGTTTTCAAATGCCTCGCGCTCTTTTTTTTCTTTTGCATTGGTAATAACAATGTTAAAGAAAATGAGCGTGAGGTATTTCGGCGGTTAGAAATAACAAAATGAAATCGTAAGCGATAGCGTTTTCCAAAGCAATCCAGTTAGGCGATTGGCCCCCAGGGTGGGTTCCTTCTATTAAGTGTTTAACACCTGTACCAGAAGGAACCACTCTTCCATAACATCATTAATATATCTTATGGTAAGGTCTTAAGTTTATTTCATTGGATTTTTTAAACATTATAAAAAAATCAATTATAATTTATATAAGCGGTTGAGTGTGTGTCTGTATGCGTGTGTGTGTGTGTGTGTGTTCGTGTGTGTGCATGTGAGTGTGACGAGTGTACGTGAGTATGTGTGTACAAATGCTCTTTTTATCCGCTAGTAAGTAATATTAAGAAGGCTCTCAGTTGCATCACAATCCAAGGTCTTGAACCATGCTATCAGTTTGAGCTTGCACTCCAAAAACAGATAAAACTAAGTTCATTTGTTGAAGGTTTACTCCATTTTAAGAATAAGAGCAGCCTCTCTGCTACACAGAGTTCGTACATGTATCTATGTACAACAAATGATTCACCCATTAGAAATAAACGGATGCAACTCTGTATCACAGGCAGGCAGATTGCAGTCAAACAGTACTTTTTATATTTCTGTATTGTTTGTGATTTTATTTTAAACTAGCGGTCGCCCGCGACTTCGTCCGCGTTAACTTTTAGTTTTTTTTAACTGAAAACTTCTTTAGCGCTGTTGTACACTTTTTTATGTATGGGTAAAAAATGATAAACTCGCGTCAGGTTAAACACGTGGGCTGATCGCATCACGACACACAATAAAATTGGAAAGGTTGTTGACTTGCAATATGTTATATTACTAAGTCTCTATCTAGGACCTCCACGTAGCAGCTTTATTGGGAAGAAAATGCATTTTTTTTACAATAGATGTGGCTAGGTGCGCTTAAACGTGATTCTTGTAAGTTGATTTCTTTACAATAGATGTCGCTAAGTGCGCTTAAACGTGATTCATGTAAGTTGATTTTTCTGAGAGATAAACTTTTTTAATGTAATATAAATTGTCATGTTTGTGTACGATAGCGATACGATATTGTATTCTACCACATACATGATAGTACTTTTATACTGATAATTAAAGAAATTCGTGCAAAATTATTCCCTAACCATTCGAAAATATCAAAAATGCACAACGTTAATATTCAAGTTTTCACTTCTGCCGGCAATCCCGGAGTGCAACCCGGTTTTTCTTCTAAAATAAAAGAAGCCTAGGTTACTCCTTATTACATCAGCTACCTGCCAATAAAAGTCCCGTCAAAATAGGTCCAGCCATTTCAGAGTTAATCCGGAACAGACAGACAAAAATTGTAAAAAATGTTATTTTGGTGTATGTACCGTATATATATTCATATGCATGTAGTAAAAAGCGGTTATTTCAATATTAGAAACAGGCACTCCAATTTTATTTATATGTATAGACTAGCGGCCCGCCCTCGCTTCGCTTCGGTGTAGAGCTGAAGTGTAGACTACAGTTTTTGTTCTCAGGCTTGTATTATACACAATGACATTCATCTATGATTCTTCTTATACCTGCATGCAAAGTCTCAGCCTGATCGGTTTAAAATTGACAAAGTTTCGTACAAACTTTCATTCCCTATTTTATCCCCTTGGGGGTAGAATTGATCAAAATCCTTTCTTAGCGGATGCCTACGTCATAACATCAGCCCGATCCGTCCAGTGGTTTGGGCTGTGCGTTGATAGATCACTATGTCAGTCAGTCAGTCACCTTTGAGTTTTATATATATATATGTATAGATTGGTGAATGTGTGCATAAAAACCCTAAGAAAGAAAAAAGTTTTTTTTTATAATTTTTATTTTTTAAGCATGTTCAACTGCTCGATGTTTAAATCTAAAGAAAAATCTAGAAAAAGTCCACGCGTTCAGGCAGCAGACGGGACTCGAGCCTGCACCCTCCGCTATCAGGGCGAATTGCACTGACCATTATGCTACCGCGGCCCTGATGGCCGTGTCGAATTCTTACTAGCCCTTCTTACGCTTCAAGGCAGCGCCATCCCTTCGCATTGTAGATAACCCACAGTGTTTAATACCTGTAAAGGTACTCATTTGACATTGTGGATGATTTACATTGCGAAGAGATGGTGCTGCCTTGCAGCTTAAGTAATACTAAGCAGAATTCGACACGGACATTAGGGTCGCGGTAGCATAGTGGTCAGTGCATTCGACCGGATAGCGAAGGGTGCAGGTTCGAGTCCCGTCAGCTGCCAAACCCGCGTGGATTTTTTAGTAAAATTTTCTTAAAACATCTACCAGTTAAATGATTAAAAAATAAAATCGTGTCAGAATCGACACCTATGTATAAGAACGTTCTTTAAGAGCTCGATGGAGCAGGTGGTTAGCGCGTTCGGCTGCGATCGTTGAAGTTAAGCAACTTTCGCTGTGGTCGGTTATTGGATGGGTGACAAAAAATCTTCTTTCTCGAGCTGCGTGCTTCGCAAGGCACGTTAAGCCGTTGGTCCCGGCTGCATCTGCGGTCGTTAGCACCCACCAATCCGCACTGGGCCCGCGTGGTGGGTCATGACTAGGGTTGCAACGATATATCGGAATATCGATATTATCGATAATATCGAGACCAAAATATCGATATTTATATCGATATTTAAAATTCACTGATATCGATAATATCGATATCGGAAATTCCAAAATATCGATATTTCGTAGACTTAATTTGAACACAATAATATCAATTAATTTACCTGCTACGACTGTCTAAATTGAATAATATCGAAATAACTATTGCTTTGAAATTGCAAGAGCTTATAGATGTATTAAAAACATCTCGAACCCCAAGAAATATACTAAACTGGTGTGGACTCTGGCATGTTTCTCTAAACCTAAAATTAAATTTGACAACAGTGTATCCTTGTCATTCTCTATACAGAATGAAAAGGAGACTGATGTTAAATTTAGTTTTAAATTTAGATAATCATGCCAGAATCGACACCAGCGTATATAGGTATAATCGTATACCTAATGGTAACTCATGCACTTAAATAAAATCCTTGCCTCTTTTTCTAGATAATTGTCAACTACTGATTAATTGAAATTTAATATCATTGTAATATAACACAAAATAAAATTAAGAATCTTATACAAATCGTAAATTTTTTAAGCTCGCCAAGTCAAGAAAGTAAGATAGGTATAGTAATTTTGGAAGCTTTGGGCTTATCCTATTCTGAAGCCTGATGTGTAGGTTTTACTAATTCATAACAATTGTTTTTCATATGATTATCTATTCTGATTTTGGCTGCGAGCAAATATTTCAAACAAAATAAATATCTTTGATTCGAAATTGCTTTTGATTTGATACTTCTTACAGCGCTATAAAAAATATAGAAAATATCGTGTTGGAAATGTTGGAATGGCTGACACATCTGATCGGATATCGATATTTACCTGCCCACATTATAAATATCGATATTTCGGAAACCTTTGCATCCTTAATTTTAGGTTTTTGCTTTGCAAACTTAATATAAAGCAAAAAAAAGAAAAAAATATCGATATATCGATAATATCGAGTTAAAATGGTCGATATATCGGATATCGATATTTGCCTGACTTCGATATAAATATCGATATTTCAAAAGACTTTGCATCCCTAGTCATGACCCAATCTCCCTATTCCATCCATTGGGAAGGCCTGTGCCCCAGCAGTGGGGTCATTAATAGGCTGATGATGATGATGATGATGATATCGCAATAACGCATCCGATATTATCTACCAATCATCATCAGCCTATTAATGTACCCACTGCCACTGCCACCCACGAGGACCAATGCGTATTGGAGAGTGCTAACGACCGCAGATGCAGCCGGGATCAACGGCTTAACGTGCCTTCCGAAGCACGGAGGAACCCGAGATAGAAGATTTTTGGTCACCCATCCAATGACCGACCAGTGCGAAAGTTGCTTAACTTCAACGATCGCAGCCGAACGCGCTTATTATATCAAGCTCCTCTGTGGCATATTAAGCTGTTGGTCCAGGCTAGATCTGCAGTTGTTAGCACCCACTAATCAGGCTGGATGGTGTCTTTCAGTCTCTTAATTCGTAATCAAAATCATTTATTCAGTTTAGGCTGTTACAAGCACTCATGAATGTCTAGAAACTACGGCATCGGTTCGTAAATCTATGGCGGGAGACTTTGTACTGAGAAGAACCGGCAACCCATTCAGAAAGGGCTGTTTTTCTCTCCCTGTTTTATTATTTACAGAGTTGTCAAGTTGAAAAATGACTTCAGAGATGATTCATAACAATAGAATGGGCTGACATACGTGTTACTCAGTCAAGCATTAATGTTTGACTGCTGCTTCTTTTTCTTATAGTACCTAACATGAACCCTGTCATAAAGATTAAAATTACTTTAAGTTATAATCTATACTTATAATAAATCTGTAGAGAGGTCAATTCTGCACATGAAATATATTTTCAAAATAACCATCAGGGGGTGATGGTGACAAAAATGCAATCAGTAAAATTTTTGTCTGTCTGTCTGTCTGTGTGTATGTTCCTTATAGAAACAAAAACTACTCGACGGATTTTAACGAAACTTCGTACAATTATTCTTCATACTCCTGAGCAGGTTATAGTATACTTTTCATCACGCTACAATCAATAGCAGCAGAGTAGTGAAGGGAAATGTTGGGAAATCGGGAGAAGTTACTCCATTTTTTAAGCTTCCGTCGCGTGTGCAGCCTTAATGGTTAAAGTTACATAGAAATTATGTATGACGGAAATATTCTACATAAAATTGTCTAAAAAATATCCCGCAACAGCATATGTCTATCTTTTATGGTTGACTCACAATAACACGTGTAATTATATAAATAAAGTCATTGTTTATAGCACAAGCCTGAGAACAAAAACTATAGTTTACACTACAGCTCTACACCGAAGCGAAGCGAGGGCGGGCCACCAGTTTGCTAATAAATCCCAAAGTGTTAGTTAATCAGCTAATGTTCTATACTATAAAATCTAATCTTAATATTTGGAGAGGTGGTGAACAAAATTACACACAGTAAAAAAACTGAATGACATACCTACAGCAAGCTTTAGGCTTGACTTTTAATTTATTAACTCTAGCACTGCTTTAGGCGGTTTTGGTTTAAAATAAGTTAAGATTCAAAAGCAGTGCAACCAAATCCTCTGGTAATAAAAAAGTATTATGACCAGATGCATAATAATAATATTATACCGTTTTGCTTGTCAATAAACAGAATAGGGTTCTACCAGTTTAACTTGAATAAATGCACAGGAGAAACTCGATGGCGCAGGTGCTTAGCGCGTACGGCTGCGATCGTTGAAGTTAAGCAACTTTCACAGTGGTCGGTCATAGGATGGGTGACCAAAAATCTTCTATCACGAGTTCCTCCGTGCTTCGGAAGGCACGTTAAGCCGCTGGTCCCGGCTGCATTTGCAGTTGTTAGCACCCGCCAATCCGCACTGGGCCCGCATGGTGGGTCATGGCCCAATCTCCCTATTCCATCCATAGGGAAGGCCTGTGCCCCAGCAGTGGGGACATTAATAGGTTGAAGATGAAATGCACATCAAACTCAAACAGTGGATCTATTTTGAAACTTTTTGGTTTTGTAACATTAATTATTGTTTTTTTCATTTCATTCATCATGGCCCAATCTCCGTTTTTTATACTTAGGGAAAGCCTGTGCCCCAGCAGTGGGGACATTAATAGGCTGATGATGATGATGAATCATTGTTCCTTTAACTTATGGTACTTAAAAGATTAATCAAATTTATATTGTCATTATAAGTTGCCTTGTTGATATAAATAACTATTAAGAATTATTTTCACTTTAATAAAACTACAATAAACTTTCAGCGACTGAAACATAATAAACAAAATTATCAAAGTTTCATTTACTTACTTGATAAATTCACTTTGCAATTTCTTATGAGGTAAAAAATAACTTTTTTACCTTCTAAGAAATATGTGCCAAGCAAATCATTATAAATGTAATTGCATTGCTGAATTAATCACTTCAGATTTCAACTTTACTTAATTAAATATTGTTTTTAATTGACTGAAAGACTTGGTGTATATTTCTTACCATAAAATTTAAAAATTCAGATAAGAAAATTTCATGAAGCTCATTGGGGTGCTACTTAATAAATGGTGTGTTAATTATCTAAGAATTGTTTAAAAATGGCTAATGGATTGAAAGTGATGTGGAGTAAGTGAATTTCGTAACGAGATTCAAACAAGAAAAATAATAATAAACAAAATTATTTAAGTTCATTTTATGGGCTCATAAAAATGCTGCTTTTTAAATATTTATTGAAAATGGTTAATATAACAGATGTGCTTATCTTCTAATTAGCAACAATCATAAGATCACATTATGTGATGATTTTCAAAGTTTTTTTTCTGAAGTCTTAATTTAGCATGCAAACAGGGACATTACTTTCATCACACCGTGTCATCGTACGATCGTTGCCAATCACGATGACGCCTAAGGATGAAAGAAGCATTGTAATGTGATAAAAACAAAACGTTAATAGTGGTAACTCACTGATTTGTTGAACAGCTATCTGTTGCTGCTGATGCGCCGCGTGGGCGGCCGTCGCCGCGGCGTGTGCGGCGGCCTGCGCGCTCAGCACGTGAGCCGTCAGCTCGCCGCCCACCAGCCCGCCCTCCAGCACCTCCACGCCGCCCAGCGCGCCGCTGGAATACAGCCCCATCATCTTTAACACTCGCTACGCAACTGACTGACACCACTCTCTAACGCTGATGACTGATGTAACAGTCTCGCGAACGGAACCAAATCGCAGTTTAGGTGGGTAATAAGACGCTTTTTGTCCGCTTTCACAATTTGTTTGCCGCCCGCCGTGACGCAGTCTCGCTCGATGGTGGTGACGCCGTGAAAAACAAATTCCAAAACAAAACACGATCGGACTTAGTGGCCAGCTAGATTGGACTATCGGAGTTATAATGACGGTTCACGATTTAATTAAACTGACCGTGGAACAAATTCGGATCTTAAAGAAATGGTAAATTACAAGAATGTTGTGTAATTATTTACATTTGTAAAACTGCGAACATTTCGGAGGTATTCGAAATAAAATTGCTTTCGAGCCAAAACAAAACTTTTTCGTTGCAGGTAGCCATTTGAAAAAGATTGTTTATGGTCTCACTTTTCTGACAGTGACAGGTGCATTACGCCAACTGTAGAACGTAAACTTGCACGTTTACGCAGTAAACATTATGAACATTTTAATTAATTAAAATGTTAATATCATGAAACTAATAGATTTATGAAGCGGACAGATTGCGCCTTGGTTCATAAATTAATTGGTGTAATTTAAAAGTGACATGTAAAGTAGTGTGCTGCTGGAAATGCAAAAGAAGTGTCGCGACGACGACGATGCAGCGAACGTGACGTCGAATTGATGTTAGTATGCATGCTTGACCGCATTTACGTTTTATATTTCACTACAGACTCCTTATTTTATAAATTACACTACTGCAACATTTTAGAGTTGACATTTTGATGCTGCCATGTTTTATTTTGTACATAGAGTAACTAAGTATTCAGAACAATCACAAATCAATCATTGCAGCCGTATGACTTAATTGCTTCATTTCATAATGATATTTTACTTTGTGGAGCTTCTATTATTCGCACTTTTTTATGCAAGGGCTTTTTTCCTCCAATTGAATAACCCGTCTGGTGAACCAGCTTACACCTTACAGATTATCGCAGTGAAATAACATTACCTTTAGGCCGTGATATGTTGCTGTCTACAAGTAAAGTTACAAGGGTTCGTGGGGTAGAGGATTGGGTTTTATATCTCACAGAAATACAACACTATGAAGGTTGTATCTAAAGTAGCGCTCACCTTTCGTTATGTCCTACCTCTCATTTTTTGAAAAGTATTTTTTTTTTTCAGTAATCTTCAAGAAATATCATGTTATAAATTCCGTATAAAAGATTTATCTTTAAATCTAACAGCATAACACATTATGCCTATCTTATTATAAAACAGTTAGAGTATTTTCTTATTCAAACTCAATAATGGCCTTATCTAAAGTATTGGCAGTTGTATTGGCAGCGGATATTGAAAATTAACTTTTCCTGCATGTTACGTCCCAACTGGTTCCTAGAATCCGCCCTTCACACTCCGCATCTCATTCCATAAAATCTTCGGTTTCTTTTAGGCCGTCTTGTTAAAATATAAATAAAACGTTATCTATATAAACTTTCTTATTTGCAAAACTTCGTAAAATTGAAATTATTCTTTTTTGGCACATTTATACTTTATTATCAATACCTACAATGTATTCAAAATTCTATTAGAATTTTATATAAATATTTATGCATCACGTAGAGCCGCATATCCACTTTTCTTTTCTCATGTGGTATAGAATCCTATGTTTTTAAAAAAAATATCATTGGCAGCATCATGTCATAATTTTATTATCATACGTTTTATGGTGTCAGATCATCTAAGTTGCTTCTCTAGATAATTAAAAGTTATGCTATATAGTATAGGGAAATTCATCTGAATGAAAAATATTCCGTGCTCATGTTTCATTTTATTTTAAATAGCATTATCTTACTTAAGCTTTCTTGATATTTTTTTACGTGCAAACACGGAAACTTTTTCGGATAAAATTACCATACTAATGGCTCCAATCAAGCTAAGCGTTCGGGCTCAAGAAACAGGTAATATATCTTCAGTAAGTTTTCTTTTTATACAAATGTTCAGATAGATGAGATCTTGAGAAATCCTGAAAACTATAAATCACAGACCGCAGTGATTCATCTTATCCGCAAAGAAATGTCCGAGGGATGGCTAATTCTACGCCAAATATTCTGGAGGCAAATACCACCACGAACGTAGCATTATGATAAATGCGTTTTTATTTCAGTATTTACAATGGTTAGTAATTTATTATTCTCAGTTTTATATATAATATTAGTTCTGATTTAAGATTAATTGGCTAATTAACTGTAAAATGTTAGTGGATTATTGACAAAATAGTGTGTGATTCTAAATAACTGATGAGCATTATTAAAATTGGCCAACGCCGTGTTTTTAAATTCTCGATAACAACAATTAATGCAAATTGGCAATAGATGTCACGACAGCAAAATTAAACAGAAATCTTCAATGAAAGTTTTTGATCGGGTGTCTCAATACTTCACTTACTTTCCGGTATACAGGCACAGATCAAGACGTTTTACGACACCATGATTGCTAAAGAGCGGCCGTGACGAATGGTTTTATTCAATGGAAGTCGGGTCGAAGGTGAGATCGGGGGCAATCTGTACCTTTCTAAAGGGCAGTTTCGTCCACGACAAGACATTTGAAAGAAATTTCTTAATTTACTGATCTTAATGAATAAAAAGATCATGTAACAAAGATCTTCAAGATGAAGATGATCTATTGAAATATTCAGAATTAATAGATCCCCTAAGATACTGGAAGTTGATAGTGTTAAAAATACCCGCACATTTCTTTTGTATAGAGGTTTCATAGATCAATATTTATAACGGAGAAGATAACGAGCAATGGGCACCGACATTTACAGTTCGTAGTGCGAATAACTCTTCACATAAACGAAATGCGCTCAGCGAGCGAGAGCAAAGCACTCGGCGTGAGCCCCGCACCTTTTTCGCCCACAATCTATATGTATAGATCACCGGGTCGATGACCCGTAACCTAATTTTAGAACACAATGAGAGGAAAATTATATAATTGCTCGGACATTTATGATAGTCCCAGATGCCATCAATACAAGTGGTGGAAATGCACACAATGTTAATGAATTAACCTTTTTTTTGTAGTGGAAAATCGATAGTTGATTGAGGGTGTTCATTGAGGGTGAGACGGGAGGAGGGTCGTGGGGGTGCGGTTGGCGCGTGCGCGGGGCGCGCGGGGCGCGGCGCTCGGCCACGCTGCCTCACACGCTTGCCGACGCCCGCCGCCGCCGCCTCGCGCGTCTCTACCATATTGTCCTGTCACAGCAGTACGTACACGCTACTGCTGCGCCGGGACAAGCCGGTAGAGGCGTTGCACATTCATCCCGACGACACCTCAAGCAAGAAGATCTAAGAAGTAACTGTGTATTGTCGCTTTTTTCCGTCCGTGCCGTGTTTTTCTGTTCGCAGGTCCGTATAACCAAGCGGATGGGCGCTGCAACCTCTGCAGGAGCAGGAAACGACGCCCACACTAGTTGTGATGAGTGTATGTGCTAGTGCTCACGTGATAGTGTTAAGCTTTGAAAGTAAAACGATTCGATATGTTGTAATGTAATAGTGAGATTAATGGTTGCCTGTAGCCGGAGGGTGCATGTATCGAGCGGCCCAAGGCGCATGCGCCCGCCATTTTTGGCTGCATCTGATGGCGCCGCTCGGCCATTTTCTCCTGGGGCTGATTCACATAAAATCTTATTGAAATCATCCCACCCTCTGTTTTTGAGCAACTTGAATATTGATTTTAGTTGATTTGGTTTAACTGTAAAATTATTCTAATTTTGATAATACATAGTCCAATACATTTTGTATGTAGATTTTAAGTTAAGATTTACGTGTATTTCTACAAATGTGTCTAAGAATTATTAATTATGCATTTCCAGGATTGCAGATTTCATCAGCAAATTTCATTCTAGCCCGCTTCTATAATATTGAAATATCTACATGAGTCTGAAGTCAGGGTGTGAATGACTCTTTAATAGTTAGTCATGTAGACTATGTAACCTGAATTAATACGTAGAATTTTAATTTAATCAGGGAAGAATTTTCATGGAGTTTTCGCCGACAAAGCATTTTGAGAAAGTTATATCAAAAGACTTAAATTAAATATATCAAAAAATTAAATTAAACCCCGTTGATTTAATTAAAAACAGTAGTTTATCCCTTAATCATAACTGTATTAACAATATTTTGAAGCGCAATATGGAATAACTGTTCACTGTTCTGTTAAACATTGTTCAATATTTTGGAACAAATCCATAATTTATTTTTCATGGTAGCAGGTATTACTGTCTTGAAACAATGAACTAAGGCTTATGCAACGACCTGAATCTTAAGCAATATAAATAACAAAATATACGTTTAACGTTTAGGCAGCATCGTGAGCTCGTGACTATGGGCAACTAGGACAATAACTGAATTGTGTCAAGAGAAATATAACTTATGTTTAGCATCGCACAATTCAAATATTCATTGAATAATATTGAAAACTTTCAACCTCACGCAATATAGGTACGCAAAACCTATTGTTATGATTTTAGAAAACGAATCATGTATAAGAAGTCTTTTATTTAGATCAAACCAAAACCTTAAGCTATCTATATAGAATTTTAATGATTTTGTATTAATAAACAACTTTCAGGAATAAATATTTCCAACACCCACACCAATTAGTTTAGCCCCAAAGTAAGCACTGTAGGCTTGTGTTATGGGATGCGAGGGTAACGGATAAAATACATTTAATGATACATATATTTATATAGAAATACATATTTAACATTCATAACTGGAGTACAAATGCTCGTATTCATCACACAAACATCTGTCCCCACTAGGATTCGAACTCAGGATCTCTTGAGTAGGCAAAACCTTGAAACCCAGCGTATAAACTACTCGGCCACGGAGGTCATCGTCGTCGTCATCATGTTTTAATTATATATCTCAGAAAAAATACTGGAACAAGCTAACTTTCTTTTGGAATAAAGT